TGATTATATTGAGTTTTAATGTAATTGCACATAATTTTGAATTTGGATAGTGATTCCTGCTTAGTATGCATGAAATAAAGCCAAGAGTAACGAGTGAAATCATCTATAAAGACAATGTAATATCGGTATCCTTCGGTCGAATTGATCGGAGCAGGACCCCAGACGTCGCTGTGAATTAAAGAAAAAGGAGAAGTAGTAGTAGAAAAACTTTTATTAAAATGCTGTTTGTGGCTTTTGGCCATATTACAAGATGTGCAAATAAAGGAGTGAGACATCTTGTGAAGATCGGGTATGTACTGAGCTAGATGCGGCATGAGTTTGAGGTTCGGGTGACCCAGCCTTGAGTGACAGAGATGAGAATTCTTTGTGATGGCCGAGAGGGCAGTGTGCGACTGGGCCGAAGATGGTTGAATCTGGTAAAGTCCGTTATGAAGACGCCCACGAAGAAGCGAGCGTCGATCCTGCAGATCCTTGATTTCAAATCCATTAGAGTCAAAGCATATAGAAATATTGTTATCTGCGGTTAGCTTTGAAACAGAGAGTAAGTTGTGAGTTAAAGAAGGGACGTGAAGTAGATTACGAAGTTGAAGCTTACGTGGTGTGTCGGGAAGAGGAAGAAGGCATTGGCCAGAGTTTTGAATCGAGAGAGGTGTATCGTTTGGTATGGAGACAGAATCCTGACCGTGGTAGGGGTTGGAGTTCTGAAGACTGCTGCTGTCCGGCGTCAGGTGTGCAGATGCGCTGGTGTCCAGTACCCAATCTTGGGTGTTCGCCGGAGAGGAATTTGCAAGAAACGCTCGAGGAGGATGAGTGACCGTCGGGGCGTATTTGAAATTACATATGTGCCAGCAATTTAGTGCGACATGTCCAGTTTTGCCGCATATTTGGCACAGAGGCCGTTGTGCTGCTGGTGCCGAATTTGAAGTGTATGTGTTCACTGGATTAGCAGATGAGGCTGGAGCCGGTCTGCCCTTAGTGAACTTTTCTGATTTCTACCTTTGTATTGGTTGGACGAAGCAGCATAGAGGGCGTTGGCGGCCGAACCAGTGGACTGGTCTTTGAGCGATTCTTGCTGCAGATGAATTTCTTCGTTGCAAAGCAGGGCGTAGAATGTGTCCAGATCCAGAGGTAGTTGAGATGTGCGAATTGAGGTCTTGAAAGAATTATAGGTGGGAGGTAGACCGTTGAGAATGTGGATGATCGTATCTTCAGGATCTATCTTGGATCCCGAAGCAGAAATGTTGTCCACAATTGTTTTTATGTTGGAAAGATGTTGTTGAATGCTCAGATCTTTGAGTTGAACGTGATAAAGTTCGTTCTTTAACTGGATAACACGGGATCGGCTTGTGGGTTATAAACGTCGTTCAAGAACCGTCCAAGCCTCATGCGCGGTGGTGGAGGTAATGATGTACGGGAGAATTGATTGGGAAATGGTAGAGAAAAGGGCTGAGATAAGATTACTATCTGCCGTGTGCCAGAGATTGTAGTCTGCGGTGGAGGTGTCCTCTGGAGGAGCTGCTTTTCCGGTGAGATGCCCGGCGTAGTCATTTGCAAGAAATTGTTGTAGAATTTGGGTACGCCAAATGGGATAGTTGTCGACGGTGAGGGGGTAGGGAATGAGGTTCTTGATGTTGGAAACAAGAAATTTGAGGTTGGCCGGAATGTTGTAGGAAGTGGAGGTGGATGCCATGAGTGCGGCAGAGGTGGGAGGGATAGAACTGGTGGATTCTTGATCCACAGTGGTGGCTCTTGATACCATGACGAAGTCACGGGCGGATAAGAGAGGAAGCGAAGAGAGGAACAGAGAACAAGAAGCTAAACGTAAAGGAGAGAAAAATGTATTGAATGAAATAAGTGTACATGAGTTACAAGTTATATATAGATGACTACAATGGCAAAATAAGGCAAATAACTAAAGACAGATATGTTTATATTCTAATACTAATTGGTCTCCAGACTGTCTGGTATCCGCACAAAATAATTTCTCCATTATGCCTTTATGTTCTCAAAATATTAAGCGCAATTAATTAGCTAGGATGTCCCATTGATTAATTGTTTGAAAGCATGCACAAAATCATGATTTAAGAGATTTTTAAATTCCAATACACCAACTGCAAATAGAAGTGTTCTTCCTCCTAAGTGACCCTCCTACCACCCATCATATATGTTATACAACTAAATACTAAATAAAAGGTAATTACTTTCTATTACTAAGCATTTGACTATAGGATTGAATATGAAAAATAAAAACCTACATAGATGAATGATGAAAGACAAATTAGATGAGTTTATAAATTAGATAAATGACCCTTAGTCAAATTACAAAAAGTCTATGCATATTTTTTTTATTTTATCAATTTCTTAATATTTTAGTAGTAATAAGGGCAATTGCATCTATTCAATAGTTCTTTTTTTGGGTGAATATTAAGACTTCGTTTGAGACAACTTTCTTACTACTTTCTAAAACAAATTTTTAGTACAAACTTTTTTTTTTTTTTTTGTACAACTAAGCTGCTTTAGAAAGCAGTAATAAAGCCGCCCCAAACGAAACCTAAATATGCAATTGCTTTTTCGTGTTCTCGTCATTGTTGCTTAATCAAATAAATGCTTATTATTATTGTTGTATTAAATATGTAATTGTACATGATTTCAATATCTTATGCTTAATTATCTCTTGATAGAAGCACATACATAAATTTATTTTTCTTTCCAAAATAGTTTCCCATTTTGAATGTTATAGCCATAACATACAACCATCATCCACATTATCAAATTCATAAAAAAAAAAATAAAATAAAAATCAAATTCATTTTGAAATTTTTTTTAAAAAATTATAATTATTTACCTCTCAATCAACAACTTCAAATAAATATTAAATAAATTATTCAAATAATATAGCATTTTAATTATTATAAAAATTTAAAAAATAAAAAAAAATTATATAGATGCTTGATTAAGGCAAACGGTTTTATTTACTAAAAATATACATCACTAATTTCTTTTCCCACCAACACTTTTCAGAATGCGTTGGTTTCTAACTATAAATCAACAGGAGGGAAGAGGAATAGCACTACCCCATTTAGTCCCACATCGCCTACATCAAAACAGCGCGTCCCTCACTTTTGTATTTAAGAAAAAACCCAAAGCCTGAGCTCCATACTTACCTGGACGGGGTCTTTACGGGTGATCATGAATGCCTGTGGCCTAGATTAGAGACCTTCATTGCACTTTGAAGGGGCTCTGATCTACCATCTGCCCAAGTGGTAGAGTGGACGTCATAATTTGTGGCAGGGGGGTTCGCGTTCGCGCGGCCCCTACTTAATTAAATTTAATTTTTTTTATAATTATTATTTTTTTCTATTTTGTAA